TTTATCCAGAGCTTCGAGCTCCGATATGATGCACAATATCCTGATCCTCCTAAAACATCTCTAGATGCGGCTATTGAACGATGGAAACTCGCAAACGATGATAAAAAGCCAACGCTTGATGACTATGACAACATTCGCGACGAATGGCGATCAAAAGATCGCGTGACAAAACTCCTCGGTATATTCTCATCGAAACGATTGTTTGCTGACTGGAAAGTCGCAGAACCGGATGATTCCAAAAGAGCTAAGGTGACGTGGAAATATTTCGTGACAACAATGCAACAGCACTACAAAGCAACAGAAAATCTTACACTTAAAAACCACCAGTTCTGGTCTTTGGCACAGGACGCCCATGAGTCATTTCCGACATTTTGTAATCGCGTATGTAAAGCAGCTCAACACTGAAATTTCAAATGCCACAATGACGATTGCACTGCCGAAGATACAGCTATACGTGACCAGATTATTATTGGCACTACACATGACAAGATCAGAGAGGAAGCCCTCAAGAACTCATGGGACCTCCAACAATTACGCAAGGAAGGAATGCGAATTGAAAGTGCCACCAAAGGACTGGAAGAGCTCAACAATGAAAATCTAATCAACAAAATGGGTAAATACTCCTTTAAAACCATGAAGAAAAAACCTGAGGCTTGAAAGCCCCGGTCATGTTACTACTGCGGACAAGACATCAAGACATCCGTTATTGCTCACCTCAAATCCTGCAGAGCACGAACCAGCAAATGTAACTTCTGTGATGCAATTGGCCACTATGAAACTGTATGTAGGAAAAAGAACGCAATCAATGAACTAAAAAACGACAGTGAACAACAAGAACATCAAATCGAATATCATGACCAAAGCGGCGTCTACAGCATCAAAATCTTCAGAATAACCGAAACACCTTAGCAACAACCTCCTCATAAGAGACGCATGAAAACCAGAGGTTTCAACGCACAAGTCATCATCAACAATAGCCTTGCTAAAGTGTTGGCTGACACAGATGCAAGTATCAGCGTCTGTGGAAGAGAGCAATCGCAAGAATGGAACCTCCTGTCCAGAATGGTCCCAACCACGACTAAGATCAAGCCATATAACAGCCCGACAATACCAGTTATTGGAATTGCCAAATGCGCTGTCACATTTGTCTCCACATCCATTCCAGTTGATTGGCACATAATTGATACACCATGTGAACCTATACTTGCAGGAGAAAGTGCAGTACAACTGGGGATAATCCAGTTTGACCCTAAGCCCGAAGTTTACCAACCAGTACAGTTGATCCAGTGTAGCAAAAAGGAAGCGCTTCAAGACATCTTAAAGAAATATCCGCAGAATTTTGAAGGGCTTGTAAAGTTGAAAAACCACCAAGTTAAACTGCATGTCGACCCCAGTATTAAATCCGTTGCCCCCCAGCTCGACCAGTGCCATATCACTTGAAGGAACGTATCAGAACAGAGATTGACAAGATTGTAGCCCAAAATGTCATTGAAGAACATCCACCAACAGAACCAGCACCTTGGGTGTCAAACGCAGTTATTGCACCCAAATCGGACGGCGCCATTTGTATGACCCTTGACGCTCGCAATGTGAATAAAGCGATCCAAGCTTCCAACCTGCTCATCCCAAGGAAAGAAGGCATTAAAGCTAAACTTAGCCGCGGAGCGAAGGTGTTCTCGAAGATGGACTTTAAATCGGCATTTTGGCAACTTGAACTCCACCCAGATTGCCGGTACCTTACGGTGTTCCACGCAACGATAAACTATACCGATATAAGCGACTCACCATGGGCGTAAAGCCAGCACAAGGAGAACTTAACATGACTCTTCAACCGCTTTTCGCACATATTCCACAAGCACACCTCATCCATGATGACCTTATTGTTGCAACAGAAACCGATGCAGAACACCATTCCGCGATTACTGCCGTCATGCAAGCCATCACTAACGCTGGTATAACCCTTAATCCAAGCAAGTGCACTTTCGGAGCCACTGAGATCGAATTCTGTGGTTTGCGTATTGGTTCCGCAGGAGTACGACCACATCCCGCCAAAGTGGAAGCATTAAAGCACATCACACCGAGTCCAATGCCGATTTCATTCCAAACTTCGCACAACACGCGGCCAAACTGAGAGAACTGACCAAGAAAAATAGTCGATTCACATGGACGAAAGAACATCATTCCGCTTACGAAGCATTAATCGAACGATTCACAGTAAATACCCTACTCGAGTATTTCGACATGAGCAAGCCAAGTTTCATTTTCACCGATGCACACACTACTGGACTTGGGGCCATGCTGGCACAAGGAGATACACCAGAGAGCGCAAAACCAATTGCTATAGCTTCTAGAACAACAGACAAGGCCGAGCAGAGGTATCCACAAATCGACCTTGAGGCCCTTGGTATTGATTTTGCTCTACGACGATTTCGCAACTATATCCTTGGTTCCCCAACCGATATCCAGGTTATAACTGATCATAAACCATTATGCTCTATCTTCAACGGCAACCGTAAAGGAAGAATAAAGCTCCGCCATCAAGACATCAGATTTACGGTAATCTACCAGTGTGGGAAAGTTAACCAATCCGACTAGCTATCCCGACACGCGAAACCAATCGAGAAACTACCTCGGGAGGAACAAACTGAAGCGGATGAACTCAATAATCTCCTGTACCCACTTTGATACAACACCAGCCATCGACTGCGTGGGTATTGGTGCTATTGCACAAGCCACAAGTGAAGACCAGACTCTACAAAAGATAGCGGCACTCATCAAGAAGGGACAGACTTGGATCCCAAAGACAGAACCTGCCGAAGTTCAACGTTTTCGACCCATCCTTCTACAACTCACAGTTATAGGAAATGGCATAATCCTCAAAGATGAAAGATCATCCTTCCGAATAAGCTCCAAGAAAAAGCTATCCAGATTGCACACAAGAGAGCCCATCCCGGACAGGAGGGGTTGAAGCGACGGCTTTGATATCATTTCTTCTTCCACGGCATGGATAAGAAGGTGGAAGAGTTTGTAAAGTCATGCAGTGACTGCAATGTATTTGTGGATAAGAAGACGAAGGAGCCGATCAAACCACACCGAGTACCAGAGAAGTGTTGGGAAACAGTTGCAGTGGATTTATTCGGACCAATGCCATCATCTAAACATGTGGTGGTAGTACAAGACCTAGCGTCAAGATACCCTGCAGCAAAGTTAGTCACATCAACAAAGGCAGACAAAGTCATACCAGCCTTGACAGAAATTTACGAAACATACGGCAACCCAGATGTACAGATCTTAGACAATGGTCCACCATTCAACAGCATTCAGATGCAAAACTTCGCCAAGACCAAAGACATCAAGTTACAGAAATCACCACCACTACATCCCTCCTCGAACCCAGTCGAAACCTTTATGCGGCCCTTGGGCAAGGCTATGAAAACTGGGCGTCACAGCGGTATTCCCGAAAAAGAAAGCCTAAAAAATGTCTTGAAAAACTACAGACAGACACCTCACCCGGCAACCAATCTTCCGCCGGCAGCTATATGATTTTCCGCCATGGACAACGCCTGGACTTTGCTAGAAGACACGCAACAGACGAAGAGATGAGCAGGGCACGAGAAGCAGACCAGAAGAAGAAAATGGAAAACGAAAGTAAAGTAAATGGCTCCAAGTATCGGGAAGAAATCTCATTTCATAATCGGCGACAATGTCCTGATCAGAAACTACAATAAATCAAGAAAGTTTGACACTCTCTTTCTCCAGGCACTTGAAATATTCATGTCTCATCACTGGTGCCTAAATTACTTTGAATTTGTACTCGATCGAGTAAAAGTAGAAGTAATTAACAATAAAACGACTTGAGTAAGGGTAAAAAGTACTGGAAGCAAAACGTACTTTAGTAAAAAATACAAAAGTATCCTTAAAAAGTATACTTGAAGCAGAGTCTATTTTAGTGTGCAGTATTGACACTTTGTGCAGTATTGAATAAAACGTTTGCAGTATTGAATGCAAAAGTGTGCAGTATTGAAATTTGAAGTTTGAAATAAATTTCAACTTTGTATTAGATGTGCTGAAGGAGGGAAGTGGATGCAATATAAAGTCGATCGAGAATACCAAAATGCCATAATTTGCAACAAAATGAGCAAAGGCACAAACAAATATTGGCCAAATATATGTTCCAGTAATAATTCTAGTATTCAATATTTTCATGAGCAGAAAAGCCGATGATGGTGTACTTCTTTCTCCCCAGCCTAATCCCTAGGCCTCTTAGTACACCTGCTTTGCGTTTCTCAAAAGAGTGCACAGAGGACTACGGACTAGTCTGCTTTCTTCCACAAGTGGGAAGAATTACTACAATAGGTTATGGTCGATTTGAATTTGAAAGGTCTCCTTTTTTGGGGACACCCTTCCAATTCAAAGATGACGTCACAGGGTGACGTCATTGATGACACCTGCTCTGAAGTGTGCAGTATTGAAATTTCCTTAGAATAGGCCCTGACTTGAAGTACAAAGTAAAAGTAAAAGTACTATTATCTGTAGCGTGTAGAGGGGGGTCTTCTCCAATGGATTGACATACAAAAGACACAAAACAGCACACGCATTATATGCGTGCACCAAATATATACTATAGGGAGTTTAGGAATGTAAGACGGCGACGTCAGGACGACGGCTAAAGAAACTGTTTGAAATAAATGATTGTGATGGAAATCTGGTCTCATGTATTTACTTTCGTATGAATTTAAAATAGTTTCGAACGAGTAAAACAGAGCTTAACCTTCAGAGCAATGTTGATCAACTCTGCAGCCGTAGAAAAATTGCCTGCCACGGCGTGAAATGCTAGCGTCTATACAAGACGTGAAAATATGCATTTTGCCGTTGTCAACAGAGCTTGGACGGCGTCTAAAACCCCTACTAAACTTTTAATTATTCATTTCATTTTCTTTTGTGCTATAGGATTAATGTCATTGTATTGATAGCCGTCGTCCTGACGTCGCCGTCTTACATTCCTAAACTTCCCGATTGCATGGTCTACTTACCAGACCCCTTTGGAGATCCATGCATTAAATTAATTAATGCTTATTAGTAAGCCACAAACGAGAAATAAACTAGAAATAAATCACGTAAACTGATTAAACACGAAATGAAAATAACGAAGTAAAACGTTACTTCTTAAAACGACTTCAGTTCCAAGTAAAAGTACTCCAGAAAAAGTTTACTTTGTTACATGCTGACTTCTCCAAAAATTGTACTTTTAAGTCAGAGTAACGAAGTACATTTACTTCGTTACTTTACACCACTGTGTCTCATTAGCGCAGGGGATAGAGCACTGGTCTAGCTCGTAAAAGCAGGGGAATCAAGCAAGAAAGGAATTTCCCAGCGTTCTGTTTAGCTAAGAGGGTCTAGATGGGGGTGTCTGAAAATCAGTAAAGGTAAATATTTTGGTATTATAACGGTAACATTTTAGTATTTTAACGGTAAATCTTTGAAAAGTGTTCTGAAACAATAAGCAGTATTTTTTTCCTCACGCTTCACGGTAAATTTTTAGTGTTTTCACGACGGACGGTAACCGAAATTGAGTGAATCACGTCTCACCATATACCCTAGACTGCGAGCAATCCCTAATAAAATAGAGGGATTGCCGCTTTAACTAATTGTCAAGCGTGTTTGATTAAGCTCCGCCTACTTGTTTATATTTCAAAACAGGGTCAAAAACATCTCTTGAAAGGCGCGGTCTCGAATGACTCAATTCGCTTAGGGTAAAACCATCAAACAACGTGTATTTAAATTCTCAAATTTCAGTTTGGCAAGTATGAATATTCATAATCAGAATTTGTTTGGCAGGAAACCGTATAAAGCAAGGCAAGGGGTCTTAGGGTTTATTGAAGGGTCTATTCTATAGACCGTGTGACTTTCTACGACAATGTTTTGACATAGTTTAATAGTTTACAGTAATAAAAAATTACCAACTTAATACAGCTATTAAGCTGAATTACATGGTTAAGATTTACAAGGAGTGTTTCTAATTTATATAAACTAAACCTCTATGCCTGTATGTTTACAAAGCTTAAAATTTAAACTTGAAAATTGGAAACATGCAAATGTATACGGATGCTAAAACTATGAATTAAAACGTTTAGAACTTGCGATTATGAATGTGTTCATGTATTTATTAGTCTTAATTATTGGAAAGTCAAAGGTTCTCATTGTTCTCAGGGATTAATGTGCAGTATTTGAGTTCAAATCCGGCAATAGTGCCGCGAAGTTTGTGATTTGGATCTTCAATGATTTCTGTATCCGTTCAATGTCTTTTATACTCAGGTAATTTGGGATTCCGTAATGAAAAACGGGCGATGCATATTCTACTATCTCGGTCGGATGCAAGTACAATAAAAACAAATCATCTCAGCAGCGGGTACATTCGCACGTTTTAACTATCGTAAAAAATGCAATCTTTTAGAGGCTTTCTTAATTAATGATACATTGATACTGTCAACATGACTATTCCATTTAAGATCAAAACAATACATACAATATACAATACATACATACATATTTACAAAGACATGCAATATTATAATGAACCCAAACTCCATAAACTCACCAAGTCACCATGCATGTATTAATTAGCCTAACTGTGTGGCATTCATCAACGACTATGAGGGACAGTTCGTTTCTGAATGGCGAGCTTTTATTCTTCAACAAGGCAACGGGAAAATCAAACACGCTTGACAATTAGTTAAAGCGGCAATCCCTCTATTTTTCCTCTCGTCTCCGCCCCTTTTTGCCATTTTCCCGCGCGTTCAGTCTTAGTCCGGGAAACAATAAAACGAAGGAAAATAGAGGGATTGCTCGCAGTCTACATATACCCCATCAACACCCTCTTATAAGTATAGTTATCAAGTATAATATTTCCAAACAATTTTTTTAAACTTTCAATTCCCTAAATAAATTGCCGATCATTGCTAGAGCCTCATGAGAGAGATCACGACCTTCATTTGGCGTGTGCTACTACTCTGCCTCTGAGCTACATACAGCCACATACAGCTCTATGAGATCAGTGGCTATGCGATGACAGATATTAACAACGGATGATCTATCATATGATTGTTACATGAAGTTCCGCCTGAAATTTTCTAAAGAGTATAAAAATTAAAGAGGAATTGTTTGGAGAAAAGGAACCTATGAATAACCAGTCTATGCTTTGAATTTGCCGAGAATTCGCAAGCGTGGCAAACACAAGGAGCCAATAATACTATTTGAATGAAATCATGTCCTACCCAGGCCATATTCTTTATGAAAAGACCGGACAAGCGCCAGCTCCGAGTAAAGATTTCCATCAACTTCTTGTCGGTGAAACTGAAGTCACCTTGCGTGGCTGGAAGGTTTCTGTGCGTAAAGATCAACGTTTGATTCCTCCAAGCCAACGAAAAGTATCCTGGGATGATTTCGACGAGGATACACGAATGCAGTCTGAAATATCTCGAATATTTGGCGAAGAAACGTTGAGTCAAGTGCACGCTTTGATCTGTGGCGACTGGCTGATTCGTCTGCCTGTGGACCTCATCATACGACTTTGTGGCTACATTGAATTGCAAGATATCGCCCGTATGGCTCAGGTTTGCAGGAAATTAAGGGATGTATGTTGCAGTGATAAGTTGTGGGAAAATATTTACCGAGCACATTGTGACACAGTTACTGACCAAATGATTTCGTTGGCTGCCGAAGTTGGATGGAAGAAATTATTTTTTACAAACAAACTGCAATTGCAAAAGGAGATGAGACGGCGTGACCGGCAGAAAAACAATCCGAGTAACTCTGAAAATTTGTTTATTACCGAATAAAATTTGACATTACTTGATATTCATGAACGGAACTTCAGAACTTGGTTTTTGTTACCATGGAAATACATGTTCATTTTATATATTATTTCAAATGACACATTTGACTGTTAATATTGACTTTGATAAATATAATTTTATATATTCCATGTTTTCATTATATATAAAGAACTGTATTTAAATATAGTTGCATTTGTAAAAAAGAATTATTACATATTACATTTTTACCAAGTATTTTTTGTTCGTGTTTTATAGTGAAAACCGGAGAGTGAAAACAAAGAGATTTCCTCGGGGATAAATGACAGGCAATATTTTCACTTTATATAGCTAATTTCCGTACACTGTTTCGACCAAGCCTCGTTAGCGCAGTAGGCAGCGCGTCAGTCTCATAATCACTTGCTGAAGAGCAATCTGAAGGTCGTGAGTTCGATCCTCACACGAGGCAACGGTCATTTTTGTTCCATGTATTTTTTTATTCCCAGTCAAATTTTTAAATAACATTTTTGTTTTATCATTTTGAACATGCCGAGGCACTAAACATTGTAAATAAATTAAATTTGTGTTCTCATCCATAGGGTAAGTATCTAAATTTTCATTAAATAAACTCGGCCCAGTTTTCGTTAGCCTGCGTGCAGGCTCATTCGTACGATGCATGCAAATTCTGTACGTCTAAAGACTTGACCACTGAGTGAAACTGTACGTCGTGTACGAAGTTCTGCTCAGTACGAGTGAACAATTTTCTGGAACTATGTTTGATTAATTTGGAGTTGCTTATTACAAAAAATAAACATAAATCTATAGAAACTATATTAATTTTTATTTCTTGTAACTGGTAACCTGAAATTCAGGCCCTGTAACTGGGGAAGACAACACTATCTTCCTGATCACGTGAGCGTGTTCTTGAAACGTGATTGGTTCGTCGATCGCCATACTGCAACTCCGATAGCACATATAGCACATACATTAGAGTTGAATCTACGAAAGAAGCAATAGGACAATTTTTATTGCTTTCTGGGACGAAAGTGCACTGTTTTATACTTGCTTGCGACCTTGAGAAGGACTGTTTAAAAGCAGAAAAGTTAGTATCTGTTCTCACGTTCCTCAAGCATTATTTTATGATTGTTTCACTGTGGCGAATTGTTATACGACATGTATTTAATTTTCACTTGTTTTGCCTTTTGGCTTTTACAGATACTTTGACCCATCAAAAGCTGAGGGTCGTGCGATGCCTTTGCGTTTATGGACAATAGCCTTGAGAGGGAGGAATTAGGGGGGAACGCAAAATCGAAAAGGTTTGTATTTATGAGCGACCACTTATTTTAATACTTGAACAGCAATTTTAATAGCTGTGTTCTCATCATTTCAAAAAGCAAGTCATTGTTTCCTGTAAAGTCACGGTTTGAGTTAATAATATTTCTCTTTAAATCTTTTTTGTATCTCACAAATATGAACATATTCTTTTAAGAATGAGCTGCCTTAAATTTGTGCTATTCAACATCCTACTGTAATGTTGAATTTATTAGGTAGGTTTGTTCTCATTGTCAGGCCACATGCTTGTGAACTGCAGCTTGGATGTTCATGAAACTAATATAAGACCTTGATAATCAATATTGTACAGACCACAGGCTTGTTTGCCAATTTAAGGGCAACTGGTAACCAAGATCTTATTTTTCAGAATATATTTATTTGCCGTGGCTATTCGTACTGGAACAGTATGCTGAGTTTGATAACTTCGATTTGCTATTCGTACTGCAGTCGTAATATTTAAGATAAACCTGACCCCAACCCCTTCTCTAACCCTAACCAATAAAGGTCTAATAAACTATTTGAGAGTTAAAAAGTGGGGCGGAAAAATTAAAAATATTTTAAGAAAAATTTTTAAGTCAACAGAAAACCGACGGCTAAAACTAAACCCGGACCAAACCTCGTTTCACTTTGCACGCACGCAGCGCCTTTACCGACTGCGCTAGCAGCAAGCTCGCTAAAAGCTGTTGCAAAAAACTGTTTTATATTACTACTTTACGTAATGTAAGAATCGGGTGCTATTTTCCAGTACGAATAGCTACTTTGATATTTATTACCTTCAACTATTCTATTGTTTGGTCATATGTTGGGGGCTGTATCCTGATCCATATTGGAAGATTGCATTTATTATCCGCACAGGGAGGGGGGGTTTGAGGACACTGGAAAATCCAGGGGAGGGGTGTAAAAAGGGCCTGGAAAATCCAGCGGGAGGGCGCGGGTGAAAAAGACCGGGGACAAATCCAGGGGATGGTCTGTGATTACAGTTGATTTCACATAACTTTTCCGTGAATGTTGTGAACTTCATTCCGAACTTCGTTGTGAAGTTCAAAAGTTCATACTGAAATTCGCAAGCCGGTTTGTAAACAAAGCCTCTGATTGGTCCCTTAACAAAAATAAGCCAATTAGAGGCTTTGTTTACTAACCGGCTTGTGAATTTCAGTATGAACTTTTGAACTTCACAACGAAGTTCGGAACGAAGTTCGCAACATTCACGGAAAAGTTATGTGAAATCAACTGTAAAGCCATTTTCCAGGGGTATCTGGCAATGAATTCCTAGGAAATTCCAGAGAAGGGGGTATATAAACTTTATTCCAGGGGGTCACAATTTAGCTGGTAAAAAGATATCCTCAACCCCTCCTGTGTGAAAAATAAATGCAATCTGCTATTCAAGTTGCCACACAAAAAGTGCCAAATTGACATTTTTCATCTAAACCACCTGCTCACCTTGCAAATATCCAGTGTGACATACCTTATTGTAAGATTGGTGAAAATTATGTTTTATCATGATAAAAACAAAACAGCACCTACCCAAAAAATCAATTTGAAATTTTAGATGGATATGGAATAATTGGTAAAGTTTTGTTAACACACTGTGACACTATAATCCCTCCAGAGATGGATTTTTAGATTTTGCTTTAGGGGGGTGCAAAAAATTTCGAATGGGATGAGAGTAGTTGGGTTACAGAGTGGGGGTTTAGGCGGTGAACAACCTGAAAAAGTTGAAAACTTTGAGATTTTTAGTCTTATTTATTAGTTCAAAATCCTTTAATTTTCTTTTAAATTCTAGGATATTGAAGCTTATTTTTTATTCAATAAAGTCCGGCAAATCACTATATTTTCTAGTGATACTTGATTGGGAGCAATGTACTCACAAATTCTAGACTAATAAAGAATAATTCGTAAACTAAGGATAATATTCATAATATTCATAAATTACTAATATTCATAAATTACTAATATTCGTAAATTACTGAATAAGAAAACATTATAATTATCCAAATATCTGAAGGGACATTACATAAACGGAAAGGAAAATTAGAACCCAATCCAGTAGGATTTAGATTCACACCCTCACTTGAAAATGCATGTATATATACAGGGCTTTATCCAAGCACTTTTGCTGACCTTCATTTGAGAAAAGAGGATTCAGTTTTTGTGACACACAAATGTAGCCCTGGGGCTCTAGGGGCAAAGTCCCTGAAAGCTTTTGCTATTTCAGCATCTTAGACTATGTTGCTGCCACATTGCTCGAATGTAACCTTGTGGTTTGTGAATGATGTAATCTTATGTAAAAATTGCATATTTTTTCTGCGGCTTTTTCACTCTTCCAGCTCAAGGTTGCCTAATTATTAGATTTTAGTTCGAAAAATTTACTTTCTATTTGTAATATTTGTTATTCTTCAATCATCCCATCTCATTTTGTGCTGCAGATTTGATCGAAATTTTTATTAGAAATCCAAACACAGCATGCCATCTAAGCATGTTGGGCACAAGACACAAAATATATACGATAGAGGTAGCTTTATAACATAAACATTTCGTTTCATTTTGAAAAAACCCAGCTCAAATAACCCTGTTTCTCGGAATTTCAAAAACTAAAGCATGTGAAAATTAGTTTTTGTTGTTTTTTTCTTCCGTTGTGGGAAAGATTCAGTTTAAAAACTCAATCCATGATTGAGTTTTGACCTCCATTTACCGGAGGTCAGTTGGTGCTTGGATAAAGCCCTGATATAATGTTTTGCTAATAATAAATTACGTTTTGCTTCAAAAGATGGTGCCAACACACAGTCTGTGACATAATTTCAATCGTCCTGTGGGCATTTCATCCAATGCATTTAAATTTTTGGCAGTGGTGTGCATATTTCTTTAGGGGGATGCGCCAGCCCCTGTCCTCCCTAGCTTTTTAACAAAATCACAGTTTTTGCCCAGGGAGTTTTCAAAGTGTTTGATTGTAAACAAACATTTTCAAGTTGTTAAACTTTTTTAAGTTTGGAACATATGTATGTGTTCACAATTTACCACACTGCATAAAAAAACTGAAATAGCTTCATGGATTAGCAGGTTACTGATTTAAAATTTCCAGTCAATTTTTAATATTTTATAAATCAACCTGTAAATAAAAATTGTGAGCCTGTAATCAATTTTTGATATTTGTACATCAAATATTTTATACTATTTTGTGAATCCATAATGCTGCTACCTTGTCACCATAGTCATACTGTACTTATCAAGTTATCACAAAACTGTACATTTTGTTATGAACATGCCCACAGTGCTGTAAAAGTTACATAATTTTTGTAACTACACTGTAGTTACAGTTACAGTTACATCATGAGAAAAGTAACTAGTTATGAATACAAGTTACAATGGAATACAAGTAACTAGTTACAGTTACAAAGTTACTTTATTATTTTGTCTCTGTCCCAAGAATTTTCAAAACTGTGATTGATTTAGTTGAAAATTCAAAATCCTGTGCAACAGAATAGCCTTTCACATGTTGCACTTGCAGGCACTGGTGCTCTCAATCAGATCAACGAAAATCTGGCATGGTTTCCACCATCTAGCACTGCAGCTTGGCAAAGGAAAAATATTTGAGCTGTGCATCAATGCAAGATTGAGCGACAACTCTGCGTTGTTGTAACTTAACATAAAACAGCTTTTTAATACGTTGGATATTGCCAAGACTAACGACTCTCACGTTACTTTGTATAAAATGTTTTAACTAGTTACAGTTACAAGTTAACTTCCCACCAAAGTAACTACATACAGTAGTTAGGTTACAGTTACTCAAAAATGTACCGATACATATAACTAGTTAGTAGTTACAGTAATAATCATTGTAACGAAGTTATCCACAGCACTGCATACCCAAATAGTTTAGTCTGGCCTGGCTGATTGAGGTGTGCGTTCTTTTCTGCACAATCATGCACCTTTGCATGCACACCTTCGAACACACACACACCTCTGCACACATCCTGTCTTATACAAGATGCACATTTTGTCATGCATCTCGTTTGTTTTTGAGTATAAAATAGTATGTCTTGTGAGCATATTGGCATCATTTACACTTATTTTCTTGATTCATTACAGTATGTACAGCACTTTTAGTCAGTTTTTGTATCTCTGTTGGCACAGTTTTTACCCAGTAATTTTGAAACATTCTCTGATCATTTTAATACAAGCTTTCAATTGTCAGTCAGTCAATCAGTCAGTCAATCAATCTTTATTTAAACACGGTAGTGTCATCAGTATATTACAAGTTCAAATAAAAGAAAATATAAAGAGAATTACACTGTAGAATGTAGGCCTAGTCATGCTTCTAGCATTTTTAATGTTTAATCAAAGTTAACTGGGAGACTGATTGTCGGCCAGCAGCATTGTTCCACCTTCCTTGTTGAATGTGCAGATAGATTACGGTATCATTTTACATGATTTCCATTCTAAAATTGCATGCACTTCTGGCAAAATTAGATGAGTTTCTTTAGTTGTTTTTCTTGCACAGTTGCCTTTTGAATTTGCATTGTGTTTTACATGTATTATTTGTTTACTTGAAAGGTGTCCCCTTTTCCCCCATATTTATTGTGACAGGTGCTGGCAGTTGACCTGTGGCCTTTGCTCATTTTGAACATTACCAGAAATTGGCGACAAAATGGCCACTGCTTGTATACTAATTTTCATTGCTGCCGCAGCGAGCGAGCCTGAAGCGAGCGAGCAAGGCAGCAGATCCTAATTTTGTTTTGTGGGTCGAAATCAAAATTTTCTATTTGGCGCATTGCATGACGGTACCAGTGAATTTTAACCGTGGTGCAGCGCGGTCAGGCATAAGGCAAACAAGCGATGTGATCATCTTTCATCTTTGGTCTTCTTTTATGGAAAGCCATAGCTGGCTTAGAGTGATTTTGTTGGGTGCTTTTAGCATTATACGGCGGTGCTTTCGGCATTATACAAGGTGCTTTCGCCATTATACGCAGTGGTTCCAGTATTATACGCGGTGCTTTCACCATTTATATACGCGGTGCTTTTGCAATTATACGCAGTGGTTCGAGCACTATATGCGGTGCTTTTAATATTATACACGATGCTAGCTTTCATAAGTCAACATTATTTCCATATTCTTTCCATGACATGTATATGATTTAACGATTGCTTAAATTTGGTATGTGGTTTGCAAATGCTTTTTGTCTATGGTCTGCATGGACAATGACATGCTTTTCTGTGTATATAAATGAATATAACGCAGCGAATGCGCCAAACAGTATAAACGCGGCTGAAATACGATATTAAAATCTTAAATGTGCCGTATGATTTTTTAATTATGTTTTAGAATTTACAAATGCTTTGTCATTTGTATTTATACTTGTACTGCATCACAAGGCAGTACGTAAGTGAAAAAATTCCACATGTGAGATTATCTTGTATACATTTTTGCTTTCTTTGATAAACATTATTAAACACGCAAATTTTAATTAGTGAGACGCAATGTTAAATGTCACCTGCATGTCATTGTCATTGCCCTTTAACCCCTGGTCTAATTGGTCGCTTTTGAAAATGTTGATCATGACGAACCGCACTGCCTTAATTATGCAAACTTTGTGTTTTAGAAACGGGTTAGGATAAAACGCAGATACGGACGGACGGATGAATGACGGACGGACGGATGGCGACGGACGGACCGGACGGATGACATATATATGTCATTATATAGTCTGCGCGCAGCCGCGCAGGGTAGTTGGTGGCTTACGTCTTCGCTGGTTGTTATACTTTCAAATAATTTTGTACCGATAAATATAATATATATAATTATATACCGATATATATAATTTTATACCGATAAATCAATATTCCGAGTATATAAATATATAAACTGGGATGTCACACTGATAGCTTGTTTACATTTCCTGGAGCATCATGAAATCTTATGTTTAACCACGGTGGTTTAACCCATTAGCTGGCAATGCGCCCTTCCCTTGTCGAGCGCCAGAAGATTTTACTCGTCAGTGGTATAGGGTACTGCCAGTAAATGGGTTAACAAACCTATCTGCCAATAGCTCTTGTTAATTCATCAGCACAGTAATGACCCCTACTTTAGTATTTACCCTGTCCAACGCCAGACGCTAGACGCCCTGCCATACAAGCTAAACAATAATTGGATGTTTCTGAAGGACTCGTTCAACACCCTGTAGTTTGTCTTTTGCTGTCAAAGGCAGCATTACTGCCCTGTGGGTAACCTAGTTTGTAAACTGATTAAATGATGCTCCCCATTATGATTTGCAAGCTTAGAGTATATATATATATATATATATATATATATATATATATATATATATATATATATATATATATATATATATATATATATATATATATATATATAGGTAGGCAATTTGTCGACGCTGACCAAAAATGGCGGCTCATTTCTTCTTTGAGTTTCCATTTTCGCGTCGAAGAGCAAAAATATAGACTTTCGGAGAATATTTTAGCTGTTTACTATCAAATATGTTTGTGAAACAGTTAATAATCTCACTGAGGAAGGCCAACGGTTTCTGAAAAGCTAAAGTACGTCGAAATCAGCTTTGGAATAGACTATATTTTCACCGGGGAAACATGAACTAAATGGATATTTACATCAACACTAAATTTCGCTCGTGCCTACAGAGCTAGTTGGATTAAAACAGATGTTAAGAAGTAAGTGAAAATGTGAATTTTGTGAATTATACTTTCATTAAAAAGTTTCAGAAGGGCTGCTAATGTCAAACTACACGTGTGACAGAGCTGTCAGTATACCCATATTTCAATGTTTATGTTGAAATGGCCCATCTTCTTTGAGGTATAGCTTAAAAATTAGGGTATGCTCATCACT